ACCCAGTCTATGGGTATTTTGTTACGGCAGGCAGTCTGCACCGACTCACACATTGCTCGTTATAATACCTCAAGCTTTTGCACCCTGAATTCAGGTACCAATGCAGCAAATGACTGTTACAGGGTTTTCAATGTTCTTGACTTGAAGAAGGTCTCCAACACAAGGTTCTTAAAGGATTTCAATGAAGGAAAATTAGAATGAATTTGGCTGTTATTTCAGAAGACCTAATTTGGAAGTTTGTTAAGTGGTCTTCCCAATCTTTCATCTTTGCCAAAATCTTGAGAGACAGTTTTGGAGGCCATGTTTGATTCAGCTGTCAAACATGATGCATAGATAAGAACTTTAAAATAAAATAGCTCCTCATTATACTCAAAGCCAGTAAGCAGGCAGTGTTCATTTTTAGTCCCTTTTCATTAACATACATTTTTAAAACCGGATTTCTAAAACTTCTGTTTATGAAAGCAAAGCTGAGCAACAGGCTCGACCTTGAAATGTACCTATAGGTACTAAACCTTCCCTACAGCCCAGGACAGAAAAGCACTTAGGAAGGAAGCTGACTCAATTCTCACATCAACATGACATGTGAAAAGTGTGTGTGTCTTTAACAACCAAAATTTATATCTGTCTTTTAAGTCTTCCATTGCTTTGGCTTTTAAAGTCATGATATTTGACATATATACAGTTTCATACATCGTTAAAAGAGATTGCTTTTAAAATATAGGGAAATACCCTAAAGATGCAATAAGTAAAACAATTCTAATCATTGCACAATTTTAGCAAGGCTTCTCTCCTTCAGACTCCAGGCCAGTTGTTCCCTCTCAGCTCTCAGCCTCTCCTGCTTCTGTGATGGGGAGGAAGAGAGATAAAAGACTAGCTGGAACACAGAAACATTCTAGTTCAAAAAGATTCTCCTAGCCCTTCGGTGGGCTGGTTTCTAGACTTTCCATGATGTGCATGAGAATGGCTAAAAGCAAAAGATAGAAAATTTTGATTCAAACACTCCTTGTCTGGCACTGAGTATAAATTTAAAAGGCTGCATAAACATATATAAGTTGACCTTTTCACATCATCTACTATGCCCAAAGGAGAACAGAGGAATTTTTGAGTTAGTCTTATATATTCATCTTTGAGAAAGAGAAAATAAGAGTCAAAATAAACAGGTTGAAAGTTATTGAGCATGTATAGTTTAGGATAAGAAGTAAAAAACAAAACCTTGAGATGGTTTTTATATGGGTTAACATAACTTAGTCAATAAAAAACAGTTTTATACCTAATGTTAGCTACCACTGTGGTCATAAGCAACATGAAACAGTCAGTGACAACAAAATCTCTGCTTTTCTGAGCAGGTTTTAGAGTAAATTATCCAAAGAAAATAAACCATAGTAAGAATAGGTGCCAAAAAAAATGGACCAAAAAAAAAAAAATGTGTGAATGGAAAGGAAAGGACACCAAAGAGAAAAACTATAAACGGACTGAAACTCAGGCACTAGAAAGCTTGACACGTCTTTCTTGTTAAATTGACATCCTGAGAATTTAGCCAACCTCTCTGATGCTCCTTTGACAGGATCCATGACAGGGACCAAGGAGTCAACTGCTGGGCCCAGTTAAGCGATTCTCAAACATCGTGTTAATTATCGTCTCTATTAGCCAGTGCCCAACCAGAGAAACCAAACCAGGAGGAGGTATGGATTAAGAGATTTGTTGCAACGAATCGACTAATGTGATTGTGAGCCCAGGTAGGCAAGTCCAAAATCCACAGGGCAGAGGCCAGCAGGAAAACCAGCCTGGGACTCCTGGGCTCAGGCCGAAGCTGCTGTCATCCAAGGAATCTCTTCTTCATCAGGGAGACCTCGGCTCTGCTGTCAGGGCCCTTCGACTGATTGAATCGGCCCACTCCAATTATCTAGGATAATCTTTCCTATTTATAGTCAGAGTGTAGACTGTATTACAAAGTTAAAGTATGCTCACAGCAGCACTTAGATTAGAGTTTGTTTGAATAAGCGGGGACTACCGCGTAGCCAAGTGGACACATCTAAATGACCATCACACCAACCTTGCATACCGGGGGTAGCGGGGTAAACAGAAAGAGGAAAATGCTGGTGTTCCGAGCTATTCTGCCCTGGGATAAGGGTAGCAGATTGATATAAACACGCAGTGGGTCATCCCTACTTTGTCTACTATGCTCCCCAAAATTGGTGTCTTCCCCATTGCTGAAACTCGCATCATTCGATACGATGAAATGTTGATCTACGTGGGGCATCAGAAATGACACATTTGAATCCCTCTCTCTGCAACAGACCCAGATGTAGATAAGTAACTCTCAGACACACCAAGACAGGTATTTAACAAATCTCTCTAGCAAACTTGCTAGACATAGGAGAATAAAGAAGTCTCTGGGTTTAATCAGAGAATAATCACTCCGGATGGATGTCATCTGTCATCCTAGAGAAGGGACTTTTATACTTTGACTATTCCTGAGAGACTGATCATGCCAGCCTTTTAATGACCTCTGAGCTATTGTGTTGGCTCAATACCTGCATTATTTTTTTTAATTATTAATTTACTTTGCTATAATGTCATAATTTCAATAATACCTGTTAAGCTATGGAAATAGATGTTAATTTTCTTAACTCTATTTTGGAAAGATACACTCATGAACTATCCAATATATAAAAAAAAAAAAAAAACAATGTGTGTGTGTGTGTGTGTATACGCACTGCCTATAATTCATTGGTTTAAAAGCATTTATTACTCCCACAGAACAACACTAAGCCGACTATAAACATGCCACATACTAAACCTTCAAGCTCTCCTGCCATTCTGTTTTAAACTATATTCTTCCTAAGACCTACGATGAATGTCTACATTTTGGAGGAGTTGACGAGACTATGCCATAGGGCTGCAGGATATTTTCTGAAACTATTAATTTAAAATTTTCCCCATTGTGTTGTTTCTGAACATCTGATCATCCAGAGGCTGGCTTTACATAAACATAATGAGAACATACTGTACAAGGCTGTGGAGCCTTTAAAAGACACCAGGGCTTATTTTTATCCCCAGAATCAATTAGCTACAATAAATATAAAACACCACTACAAATAAAAGGAAATCTGGTAGATAAATATTATGGGTAAGAAGAGTCAATGAATCAGTAAGACCACATGTTTTATCATATGTTCATATCTTCAGATTTTATTTTCATCAATATCATAATGCAAATCGTCCTACTGAAGTTATTATATGAGTTTCTGCTATATTATGAAGAATTTTTAACTTGCAAAACTGATAACCTCTTTGTGTCTCAGTTTTCTCATTTAACATAGAAAAAGAACTAGATCTCTAGAATTACCTCTAGTCCTAGCATTGGTTCTTATCTGCTTTAAGAAAAATACATCTTAGAGATATATCTGTATGCACATTAAAGTAGCATTTGTCTACACGGAGTAAACAAAATCATTCCCATTGGACCTGAAACATCGAGAAAATCTATGTCCTCCCATCAGACTGTTTTGAGACCATCAGGTCTCAAAACAGTCTAGCATTGTTAGCATTGCAAGTGTCTCAAATTCTACAAGTTTATATTTTTTACAAGTGAATCTTCTAATATGTTTTAAATCTTAAAATGTACTTAAATAACATACACAGATATGACATATTTAACTTGAAAAAATGGCTGTTTATATATGGAAGCTATAATTTCTCTAAATGTATTATCCAGCTCAAATATAGCTAAATGTATTATCCAGCTCAAATATTAGCACAAAAACTAGAGAGTTAAACTGACTTTATTTGGATCTTGAACCCTCGGATTCTATTAACCTAGACCACAGTGTACTTCTTTAATCAGAGCTTCTTGTCTCACAATCTTCAGTCCCACATCCGGCCTTCCAGGAGAAAGCCACCGAGCACAATCAGAACGTCTACCAGACAACTTGAATAAGGAGACTAAAGGTAAACTTTTATATCACTAAATTAAAATATGAATATTGTTCTCTGAAGAGAGTCGCTTCAAATAACTAACATTAAGCCGACCAGATCTCGATGGTATGACCACTACCTTCCTAACTGTTCAGATGAGAACCATTTGACAAATATGCAGAATAAGGATTCCGCTCAATAAAACTTCAAGAAGAGTTCTCTTTCTATTAAAACCCACAAAAGAGATGTGGAAGGGCAACACTATCTTAAGAGATACTTCCCTAGAAGTCCTCCTGCTCTCATTGCCTATTTTTCACCTACTGGTATAGGTAGTCCATGGGGTAGCTCAACTTCAATGCCAATTTCTTACCTGTCAGGATCAAACACAAGTTTGCTGATACACTCCATTGATTAATATCTGAAAATCTATCTCAGTTGGTTTGGAGCAGTTTAAGTTAGGTGAAGAATAATGTTTTAAAAGTAGATATTTTGAGGGAGGCCCTTAGATAATTTAGTAGACGATATTAGAAATACAAATACTTCTACCTTCATATCTATAGATATAAAAGTACAATCTAGTTTTGAATGACAGTATCACCATTATTTAAAAAGTAAGCTCTGTAAAAGTTTAATTGTAGAACCTAGATGGTGGATTTATGAATATTCAGTGTGCAATTATTTCAACATTTCCGTATATTTTAACCTTTTCATAACAAAATATGAAATAGGGTGAAGGAGAACTCACGCTATACAGAAGGAGTTAATCCTAAGCCAGGCACAGTGGCTCACACTTGTAATCCTAGCACTCTGGGAGGCCGAGGCAGGAGGATCGCTCAAGGTCAGGAGTTCAAAACCAGCCTGAGCAAGAGCGAGACCCCATCTCTACTGAAAATAGAAAAAATTAGCCGGGCATGGTGGCGCATGCCTGTAGTCCCAGCTACTCAGGAGGCTGAGGCAGGAGGATTGCTTGAGCCCAGGAGTTTGAGGTTGCTGTGAATGAGGCTGATGCCATGGCACTCACTCTAGCCCAGGCAACAGAGTGAGACTCTGTCTCAAAAAAAAAAAAAAAAAAAAAAAAAGAAGGAGTTAATCCACTAAGCTGGTTGATCACGTACTGCATACGGCTACAACACACACTGGTAACATAACTCAGCTGTTTCAGCCCCTAGATGGCATGCATGTTTTCCCCAGGTTCGGGTACATGAGCTCACTCCTGGCTGCTAGAATAAAATTTAACAGCAAAACATTTTACAAAATAGTCAGTAGCTTGCTGCAATTGGGTGATTTTCTGTGACTCTGCACACCTAGTCATCTTTATAATTTATGTCGGAAGCAAACGAGAGGCCTGGTAAAACAGACCTGGGCTTTCAGCCATAGTTCATAGTTCATAGTTCATAGTTCTTGACCCCACTGCTTATCCACTGATCCAGTCTCTTGAGCCTCTCCTCGTATAATAAGAAACATCAAGGTACTAATTTCAACTTTTTATGATTCATGTAAATATTAAATAAATAGATTTTTATAATTCCAAGCACAGTATGAACACATTGTAGGAGACCTTTGGTTATGATACCTATTAGCTGACCCTCTGCCCAGGCAAAAGCCTGTCTGGAACTTTTAAAATTGCTTTTGGGTAGTAGTAGATCAAATTATCATTATTATTATTTTGTCAAGAACACTAAAAACATGGATTAATTACAGTAACCAGCTAAAATACATGAAGTGTCTATGCATCCTGTAAGCCCAGTGAAAGGAGATAAAAGAGAAAGACCTCTTACCCTAGAACTCAGTTCCATCTCACCCTACTGACTGTCTCCTACTTTATCCATCCAGATACATAGAAAGAGGAAAAGAAACAGCAAGAGATACATTTATAAAAGGAGTTCAAGTCTTCTTTTTCTTATAAGCACATTTTTCTGTCTAATAATGTTAAAAGTCTATGCACTCCGGATAGAGATTTAATGCACCCAAACGCTAATGGAACATACTCATTTTTGTCATTATCTGAATAATTATTTTATAATATAGAGAGACTAGAAAAAAAAAAGACTCTAATATGTTGAATACAATGAAATATATAATGATGAGAGGAAATGTACCCCTTATATTCAGAAATGCATGTTATTTTAAAATTCAGCATGACAGTTGTTCTTCAAGATAATAAAAGCGAATGCTGGCTTTAGAGATGGCTAAAAATACTGGTTAGAGTTAATGAGAGAAATGAAAATGGTTACTATGATTAGCCTTGTTGGGGTGGCTGCAATGTGGTACGCATCTGATGCACTGGTTGCCATGGTGTATACTGTTGCATTCTTCAAACAGGATGAAATGGTTCTGCAATCAATAATAAGGGTTGAAAGAATGAATCCCACTGCACAGGTTGCAAACTAGCTTTTCCATCTCTGCTTTTTTCTTAAGCCACCAGGTGGAGTCACAAAATGTATGCTATTAATAAATTACGGGATTTTCCAGAACTGCTTAACTGGAAGACATAAATAGTGTGTTCTTGGTGGTACTGTTTCACATCTGGCCAGTTTTCATGTCATCTTTCCCATCTATGGGCCACAGCATCCAACAAGGATTGACTGGTCACATGAGAGTCACCCTCTGTCCTCTCTAAACCCTCAAAAGGCCCTTTCTAGTTCTCTTCAACTAGGACAGAGAAACGACAAATTCCCCCTTGGCCTAAGAAATTTTATCAAATAACTTAAGTTTTTTTAAATGTCTTTTATTAACTCAATGCTATTTTTCAAGAACATGGCACTAACCATGTGCTTTTAAAAATTAATGAACAATTCCCTGCTTATACTACCTAGTAGATTTTCAGAGTTGGCTAAATTCAGATTCTCCATACAAATTAGATTACTCTGCCTTTTTGATAACTTTGTGTTGATAATTCTACATAAGATAATGATCTGACTTTTCATTGTTTGTCAAAGATGACGATCATGTTTCAACACTTGATGGAGATTACTGACCTCCAACTACGAACCTTTTCCCTTTCAGCCTTTCTAGCTCATAAACTTCATGCTATAGTCCACCAACGACCTCATCTCTTCCTCTTTCCACTTAAAAAAGACATTTCTTCACGTTTCTTCCTTTGATCAACTTTCTTCTCTTTCTATAGTCTTTTCCTCAATGACCTCAACCTTCACTGTGGCTTCAGAAATGTCCTTTAATTAGCCAAAGAAAATCATAGTCCTCAGTTTTCCTGTTTATCGTTCCTTGTTAATGAATATTGTACCTGTATTAGTTTGCTACAGTTGTTGTAATGAGGTGCCACAGACAAGGTGGCTGGAACGATGGAAATTTATTTGAAAACTAGAAATCCCAGGTCCATGTTCCTTCTGAGGATGGTGAGGGCAGGATTCCCACCAGGCCTCTCTCCTTGGCTTGGAGATGGTCGTCTTCTTCTTGTGTCTTTAAGATGGTTTCCCTCTGTACGTGCCTGTGTCCACATTTCTTCTTCTTATGAAGACACTAGTCATATGGAATTAGGACCCACCCTAATGACCTCATTTTAATTTAATCACCTCTGTAAAAACCCCATCCCCAGTTAAGGTCACTTTCTGAGATACTGGGAGGTTAGGACCACAAAGATGGTCAAAGATTATCACCATCTTTTATGAACAATGAAAAGTCAGATCATTATCTTATGCAGAATTATCAATACAAAGTAATCAAAAAAGGCAGAGTAATCTAATTTGTATGTAGAATCTGAAGTTAGCCAACTCTGAAAATCCACTAGGTAGCATACGCAGGGAATTGCTCTCAACAAGTAAAACAACATACATATTTTGGAAGGACAGAATTTAGTCCATAACAAATGTTGTATGATTATATTATATTGAGAGATGATTGTTCAGTTAAAACTTGCAGAATTAATGCTATGTCATTGTCATTATGGGGAGGAAGGTAAGGTCCACCTCCATTTCAAAGACCCAAGAAAGAAGTGAGTCCACAAACAAGAATCGAGACAGGCTCTACGCAGACACGAGAGAGGGTCTGGCCTGTCTTGTTCAAAAACCTTAAGGAAAAAAGATATTAGGATTGGGATCCTGCATGGTGGGTTTGAAATGGACATCACGTGAAGGAAGACCAGGAGCTAGGAAAAAGAAATATCCCTACCTGTAGCAGGCCCCGATGAATGAGAAGTTAACAAGATTTTGTGACCCAAATTATTTATGTCAATTTTAGTATTTTCAAAAATTATTCTCCAGTTCAAACTCTCTCAAATGCTCAGCAGTCTATAGTAATTGACAGTGAACATTTATAATTTAAAAACTGCAAAGTCCAATAAAAATAAAATGAAGTAGAATAAAATAAGATTTTTATAATTAAAAAAAAAACTTTTTGTTTAACTCCAGCATTTCCAAACTCTTTTGACCACAGACTTCTTTTTTTTTCATGGACCAACAATCATTGTTTCACAGAACACACTGAGCAGTGCTGAGTTTGCTGAAGCTTTGTTTAGATTTTCAAGCCCTGTCTCAGCTGAGCTAGAAAGAATTCAGGGAAGGGTCATTACTGTTCTCTGGGGTCAAAATGAAAGTTTTGCTGCTTCTATAAATATCACGTTGGTAGGGATCATTTTTGAAAGGGAGAGAAACCCTTTCATCCCCCCACTCCCAGGCAGATGTATTTCATGATCATTGAATGAATAAAGTTAGGATCACACCATCCGGCCTCTATCCAACCTTGAAATTTAAGAGATTGTTTTTGAGGAAGAGGAATTGCTTCACAATCCCAAATTCCTACCTGTAGCCAGACTCCCTTTTGACCTTCAAATTTCATAGCATCTTTTTTTTTCTTTTCCACTACAGTTAGTAGTTCTTTCTTAGGTATACCAGCAAAAAGATGAATTGCTATACTCGACTACCAGAACTGATTTTATTATTCCTGTTCATAGAACCATCATTCTACTAGTCCTCTCAGCCTGAAACCTACATCTGTCATTCTCTCCTCTATTTCTCATCAATGAAGGTGCCAAGTCTCACGGGTTCCACCTCTTGCAAGGTCTCTTGAACTTATACCCCTGTTTTCATTCTAAGTGACCACCCCAATCCAGACCTCCTCATATCAATTCTTCAGCCTCTTAACTGTTCTCCATCTGCTTCCCCTCCATCTGCTTCCTCTCCATTCCCTACATTTCTGCTGGTTAGTTTTCATGACATCTCTGTCCATACATCTTTGACATCTTGCCATGGCCTACCAAGCCCAACACACAGTGGCATCCTAAGATTTCTACTCTGCAATCTCATCCCCACGGTACTTGTGCAGCCTCCTTGCTCTTTCTTCCCTTCCTCATACGTCAGGGAAGTTTCAGCAAGCACCTTGCCCCAGCACATCTCTGCCACTTGTATCTAGAATGTCCCTACTCCACACCCTTCCTCCGTATCTTCTTCCAGAGCAACTCAAATATTTACACTTTCAGGCTGAGACACCATGCAGTCAAACGGTGTGCATGGGTGTAGACAAGCTTTGTAGTCAGGCAGATCTTGGTTTATATAACTCAACTGTGCCTCTTACCACCCTTGTGTGTCAAGCTGTCAGTAATAATATTTATTACCTATATTTTTCATAAGAATTAAATGAAACACACCCACATAACCATGCTGTTATGGTCACTGAAATCTTTCCCAATTTCCAATATTCTGAAAGCATCTCTCCCAATTAAAAATTTCACAGGCCAGGTATGGTGGCGCACACCTGTAATCCCAGCACTCTGGGAGGCCAAGATGGGAGGATGGCTTGAGGCCAGGAGTTTGAGACCACCCTGGGCAACACAACAAGACTCTGTCTCTACAAAAAATAATATTAAAAACATTAGCCACAGGCCTGTAGTCCCAGCTGCTGGGGAGGCTGAGGCAGGAGGATCGCTTGAGCCCAGGAGTTTGAGGCTACAGAGAGTTATGATTATACCATTGCACTCCAGCCTGGGAGACAGAGCAAGACACTATCTCAAAAAAAAAAATCACAATTAAAAAATTGCACCTTATAATCAGTCTTAATGACACTAATTATATTCTGCTTTATTGTGCTCACTAATTCCTACATCACTCCCACCCCAACTCTAAGTACCCCAAAGAAGCAGGACTATGCCCCCTGTTAGAATATGCTAAAACACTTTACACAATGCCTTGATCAGAACACTTGGCCCATATACATTTAAATAAATTTAAGTGGTGCCATCAGGAAGGGCCCTGGTTTGTCACACCCCTCTCACACGCAGAACTGTCACTTCTTCATTCAGCATTCACAGCAGCTACTGC